TTTGACCATGTGTACAGTCTCCAGTTCTAACTGGGGAACCTTTTATTATACAGTACAACTAAACAAAGCAAAAATAGTAATTTCCTAAAAGGCCTCTGAGAGTACAGTTCCTTATATAGATTGCGTGGGAAGGCAATAGAACAAAATTTGGTACTTTGCTGTTCTGAGGAATAATCAGAGTATCCGAGACAAGCATCCAAACATCTCTCAACAATTCTGTAAGGGTTATAAATGTCACTTACGGTATACCTCACTGCTTATCACAGCGTTCCGAATCCCTTATGAGGTCATGAATGTTCTCTTAAGTTGTTAGTATATAATTATAAGAAAAATATGCTCATTGTTCTGTTTTCTTATGTACCAAGACCTTTCCATAACAATAGTGCAGTCTCTGTAGTTGAGCCAATGGTTGGGGCTGAAAGGGAAAAAAAAAGCAGATCCCGCATTTCTTTGCGCAGTGGTCTTTACACAGGTCTGTACAGTGTGGCACAACAGATGGTTTCCAAGGTTCTGAGACACCAACCTCATAAGCTTAATAAAATGAACTACCTTTATGCTGTTTCTGAAGTGTTATATTTAAACAAATAATTTCACCCCACACTGGACACCTATGTCTCGTATGTATTGAGGCTTCAGTCTATCCCAGATATAAACTCTGTTTTCGACCCACAGACCATGTTTGGATATCCTGGTTTTAAAAAATGAGAAAATGAACGTAATGTTGTCTCCTTCCCCCTGCACCCCCCAAAAAAACCCAAAAGAAAAGCAGAGAAAAAAGGAAGCATGAGGCAAAATGGATCAATGTCTACATCAAATATAATGCAGGAGATATCTGTGCATTAAAAGAGATGAGCCATATTGAGGATTCCCAGGTTAAATGAGTTTATTGAGTTAGTGGTTACAATGGTATGTCAGATACCTGTAATCCAGACTACACCTACATATTTGCCTCTAAATTCTTACACTGTCAGTTTCCGTGTCTCTAAACATTCCACCACCAGGTCTTCTATTACTAATATTATAATAATAATCATAATAATAATAATCATAATATAAAAGGCAATGTCAATCACCATATTGTGCTTCATACTCCACCATAAGGAATTCAATTGGCAAAAGTAAACCTCTGGTCATATTAATGGGATTAATTGAAATGTGAGCAATCATAACACTACTAGAATATAAAAAAACCAAAATATGGTTTAAAAGAAGCATTTTTAAGATGAATTAGTTTGTATCTGTTTTAAAAATTCACATACTATAATGAAGATGACTTAAAAGTTATATCATTTAATTATTGGGCCACACATTTAAGCATATTGGCTAGTACATTTTTGCACTGGAACAGAAGCAATACAAGCTTTATGGTCTACCATTACAATTTCATTTTTGTCACTTAATATACCTGCCAACCTAATGTTTCTTGCATGCATAAAAATTTCTGGGTTTAGACTTGAATTCATTATTTGACCCACACGTACCCCTGTGATGCAAGTTCTTTGGCCAATTTAATGCTATAGTTTAGTTTAAAAAGGAAGCTTGGAATAAGTCCATTTAACATCAGAAGAGAATGCCCTAATTTTGGCATTGCAGAAAGTTAGTTACTTCAATAGAGTCTCAGGTTGCATGCAAATTGACACTGCTTCCCCCCACCCCATGCCAGACGCATACAAGTCGGCAGGTATGCATACAAAAAGAATATAAAACCCTCCTGGTAAAGCTTAGTGTTTCAGAATGAATCCATAGCTTTAAATTCACTTAAGGCCTGTACAGGGGAAATATGTTTCTTCTGGGACCCTCTTCTCACTCTTGTCTGATATTCTTCTGGTTTTTCTCTCTTTACTAGAGGCTTCTTCTCAGGGGCCTTCATCTTCCAAGATACAACTGGTGAGTTCACTGCAGCAGTACCATAGACCTTCTGATATTTAGTAGAAGCCACATAGGATGCTTTCACTGTAAGGACCACAGCGTTCATCAGATTTTTAGCTGCCTGGATGAGAGAAGTGGCACTGTCCAGCTACAAATAGAAAAGAAAATGAAATACAGCAAGGTTACTCCACAACTGGATCACTGGACCGTTTCCTGACTGAAGTCTGGATAGTCTCAGATCTCATTAAAGATGAAATGAATCCTCTCCCTCAGAATTAATCAAGTAGCTTGTAGGAACAAGCACCAGCAACAACATGCACCGAACTGTAAAGGTAAGACTGTGGTACCTCACATCAAATTCTTAAATAATTCAAAGGAAAACTTGTGCTGGCTGTTTTTTTTTGTTTTTTTTTTTTTGTTGATTCTTTTCCTACCGGTGAAGAAGTTGCCTCTTTTTTCACAACAAAATCCTTGACTTCTCACTTAAACCTTTAAAAATTTACTTTTATATGTCATAAACCGCAAAAGAGGTCAACAGGGATTTTTCCAAGTGTTCAGGTTTGTTCTAATTATTCGTACTAAGCTCAGGATAACACCCCCAATGATGTCTACAGGAACAGTGTGAGGCCAGTGCTGAGCTTGTTAGAGAATCCCATCTGAAAAGATGAAAGGACATTTTGAAACCCCTACAGAAACAAAAAGATGAAACAGTTAACTGCAGGTTTTTGCAGCTACTGGAATATTTGAGCTACTTAAGTTCACAAGGAATCTTACTTCATGACGTACTTGCCAAATCCAACTGGACATCCGCAAATTAGTAGGTGCTAAAAAGACTCTCTTCAGCGCTGTAGCAACCCAGGTTACTATTTAGGATGTTCAATTATCCCTTTCTCGAAATACTGAAAAAGTGGGATATATTCTTTGTGATAAACCCCTCGGTTCTACCGTGGGAGCTGCCTCAATTTTTTAAAGCCTTTTCCAGTTTGTAGGAAAATGATTTTGGGTGTGATCTTATTTTATCTCTTTAATTCCATCCCACTTGCACAGTAAGTTCTTAGTTATTTTTAATTAGTATAAAAGGCCTGTCTCCTTCCAAACCTTTCCCGCTCCTTATTTTGGGACCAAATGATTCCTTAATGTGAATTCTAAGAAAGGTAACCAGGATAGATACTCATAAGGCAATAACGAAATCCATATTATACTTCACACCTCAAGTATTTTGAATCATTAACAGAAGAGTTCAGGAGAAACCTCTCTGACATGTCAGCGACTGATGTGAACAAGAACAGACGTTACAGAAACCCTGTGTCTGGCATAACATTCATCTATAGACTTACCTATTATTTTTGATTTCCTCAGCTGTGGCCTTATACTCAATTTGATTCATTAAATACACAAACAGCTACATACAGTGAGGTGAAAAACAAAACAGCATTTTAATGATTTTCACGTACTTGGTGCCATTCCCTGAAATGCAGAGTTAATTGCCTGCCCTCGGTAAATATTTTTCTTCGGGACTAATTCATATTTTCTGTTAGTAAAGGAAACCAAGTTAAAAGATGGAAAATTACATTATATGGCAGAAACATGACTGTTCAATAGGGAGCAATGAAATATAATTCAGAATAGTGTTATTCTATAACCACACCACTGCATGACTTATAAGGCAATCTGTATGTTTGTTGGCAAATAACAGATGATACTTTATTAAATTAGGATATTCTAATTTACTGCAGAGATTTACAATCAAGCATTATTCATTGTTAAACGATTCTTTTTGGAACACTGGTGGTTTCATATTGAATATAAAGTGATACCATCAAATAGTATTTACTTCATTTACATCAGTGTGGATAAACTGACAAGATCAAGCTTATAGTGCACATTTCTGAAAGAATTCGATTTCCTGAAGGTTTCTAATAGCCTCACATTTTCCAATGTTTCTTTACGAAAAGAGTTCTGGTAGTTGTTTCACATGGGGCATGTATTAAGGAACAGTATGATTAAAGAAAGCATTCTGAAACAAGGAGGCAATTAAATTAGATGCTTAAATCCATACAAAGGATGCAATCTGTATCTTTAAACACATTAGTAAATTCATGGAGTGTATCGATAAGGGCATGCAGAAGTATGTACTTCTGCAAGACTGGACGCGGATTGCAATGATGTCTTTTAGAAAGCCACGTTACATATTTCGATGCTATTTTAATTATCTCTATCTCTAGTTCAAATCTGCTGTTATAGTAGAAAAGAGCTCCCTATTTTCACCATTATTAATCACATTTTAACATGCAGATACTTAGTCTTTGCCCTTAATATCCGTTCATAGTGTAAAATGCTTTCAAGTCTTGGAATCAGAAAAGAGACATAAAAACCCCCTAATGGCATTAGGCTATGAGTGTTCTCCAAAGTCTGCTGGTAGCCATCCCACGTACTCAATTTGGCTACCTAAGCACTTCCAGTGATTTTCTTATTGCCTCCAGTTCCTTGCTTGTATTACGGCTCCGTGAAGAAGAATTAAACTGAATGAACACCATTTCAATTAACATTTAACATTTTACACCACTGTGTTACCTCAGTTTTAAGCTGTGCTTTGTAATCAGCAGAGCTATAGTGGCATAAAGCTGGAATGAGGCAGCAGTGAATCAAGCCCTTTGTGCGTTAATTCCTTACAAAATCTGGGCACAGAAACACACGCACTTTTCCAAACAGATAATGTTAATAATCCAAAAAAAAAAAAAGAAGGAAAATTAACATTTCAAATAAAAGTACCACTAGGAAATTATTGCACACTACAGAAGGCAAACTTCACTCCCTAGCAATGGTTAGGGAATTATGAATATAATGATAGCTTTCTGTGCTAACAGCTAACAGAGCCTTTGACTTGCTACACAAAGTAATAGTGCTCTGCTACTTAGATCTCTATACAAATATGTTTGCCTCCATTTAGGAAAAAAAGCCCTCTTAAACATAAGAGATAAATTTAGGTTATTGGTCCATAAAACTCCAAGAATAGAGAATAATGGGCAAAATTCAAACTTCATAAAGAACCTAAGAATGCACTGGAGCTGGTCACTTACCCAGGTTAAAGCTGCCATCTACCCTGCGAAGGCATAAATCATTCAGAAAAAAAATTAAAAAAAGATTTTGCTACAAGCTAACTTTGTAATTAGTGAATGCAAGGGTAGAACACTGGAGCAGCAGAGCTTATTATCTGCCAAGATGATAATTTCAGGCTTTTTTCCCCCCAAAAATCCTTAAGGCTTTGTGGAGTTTTTGATCTGCTTATAAGCTGTGATGCATTTTTCCTGCATTGTACGTGGAATTTTCCAGAATCTTGTGACAATCAAGATTTCTTGCTTCTTTTACGTATACGCATAATCTAAGTAAAATAACCCGCAATTACAACACTAAAATAGCTGAAGAAGAGCGAGAGAATAAAGCTGGAAAATCTTCTTCTTAGCAGTAAAGCAAATGAAAAGAGATGTTCTCCCTGCATTGTCACACCACTGTAATGGAGAAGAATTATACCACCATTTTTAGAAAGGAGAAAATTTAATTTCCAGTGATGTCTTCATATTTATAATTAGAAATATAGCACAAAAAAGGGAAATAAAGAAAAAAATCTGTATTTCCAGTTAATGGTAACCAAATGATTTTGTAGGTAAAATATTTTCGAAGTACCCTACATCACATTTTGATGTGATTAAACTTTGACTTGCTTAAAACAGTGCTGTTGATATAATATGAAAGGTGCTTTGCTTGGTACTACATGACAGTTTGATTAAAAACTCAGCTGATGCAAAATTGACAAGGCGCATACAGAATGATTCCAAATTATCTAATAGCTAAGTTTCCAAAAGTATGTATACACAAAGAAAACATTGCTAAACGGTGACTTCTGCAGTGGGCTCTTGGAGAAACCATTTGTCAGCTTTACAATATTAATATTTCTGTTAAAACCTCGGGAAAAAAGCACTTAACTGATGAAATTTGCAGATAACAACTGGGAAAGTGGTAAGTGATACAGAGGGCATGTGATTGATATCTAATAAGCTGGTAAGTGTCAGAAATATAGATTTCAGTTTGGCAGATGATACCTACTTATACAATAAGGAACTTTATCCTACACAGGATCCTTGGAAATCACTCCCTGAGTATACAAAGAGGAGGACACTGATGAAATATGTTAAATTATCATATTCAGTTTATTGTGTGTCTGCAGTTATGGACTACTGAGTCCTCAATGCAAGATCAACACCGAGGAACTGGAAAGAATTTAAAGAACCTCAAGAACAAAACCCATCTTTTATGGGAAAGCTTCAGTCAGCTCTGTTTTTTTCCATTAATAAAGTGAATGTTTAAAAAATGAGTTGATCAAAATCAGCTAATACATAGTAACAGAAAACTGGTAAGATTTCCAATTCAACTAGACAAAGATACAACAGAACTTAATGGGTGAAAGGTAAAGCAGGTCATCTTAGTTATTAATTAGAAAAAAAAAATTAGCAGTGATATTAATTAATCACAATAACACATGAAAGAGATTCTGTCTCTAGAAATTGTCAAATCAATATTGGATGTTTTTGCTTAATATGTACACTCTAAGCCTAACTATTGGACACTTTTAATGCCATCAATACAGGGAGCTTACACATCAGTTACGCAGGAAGACAGCTTAGATTTTAACAGTGGCCCATATTAGGCTTGAAATATACGAATGCAAAAAATTAGTATTAGAAATTATTGATAAATAAAGTTTAGACTGGTTCACTTTGTACAGATTGGGAGGAGCAATTGTCATTTATTTAACATGTTGAAAAAGAACCTGTGGCCCTTTGAGCACTCTTGGCTAAGACTAGATTTGTATGCCTTTAGCAGTAACTTGGGCACTGGCAAGCCCTTAAGGCTATCTGTGAATCCGGGGTGCATTCCCTGCTTCTCCTCCTTTTCAAAGCAAGTTCATACTTTTGTGGACTGGTACAGTTGCTGTTATCACAAACCAAAGTCAATTAACAGCCTCTAGAGCAACTAGGGTTATATGAAGCAATTATGAATCTGGAGGGTGAATCAGGAATACCATTTTTCCAGATTACATTCTTATGCAACAGAACATTTTCCTCTTAGCTGTGCTTGATAGTAAACCAA